TTTGCTGTGTCCCAAAGATTTTGGTATGTTGTGTTTTCATTCTCATTTGTTTCTAGGAACTTTGTGAATTCACGTTTAATTTCTTCTACTACCCACTTGCTTTTCAGCAGGGTGTTATTCAGTTTCCATGTATTTGACTTGATTTCTTTGGTCTTCCTATTGTTGATTTCTCATTTGATAGCATTGTGGTCTGAGAAGATGCTGTGTAGTATTTTGATATTTGTAAATTTATGGAGGTTTGTTTTGTGACCCAAGACATGATCTATTCTGGAGAATGTTCCATGTGCATTGGAAAAGAATGTGTATTGTGCTGTTGTTGGGTTGAATGCTTTGTATGATGTTTTTGATGTCATCCCACAACTCTTCTTGTCCTCAATCTTTAAGTGTCTAATGTATCAAATGTGTCCTTCAGATGATATCTAAATTCAGGTGGGATATGTTCAAGGTCAAATTTTGCTCTCATTGACTTGTTTTCATTTTCTTCAGCTTCCCCCTAAACTTGCATATGTGCCATTGCTGGTGTGTTCCACAGTCTGCCCCTGCCTTGTTTTGGCTGATGATATGAAGCTTTTCCACCATCTGCTTCCATAGACGTAGTCAATTTGATTTCTGTGTATTCCATCTGTATATCCATCTTGGTATTTGCAATGAAGAAGTCCTTGGTCTTGTAACATTCTATCATGTTATTTCCAGCACTGTTTCTTTCACCAAAGCCACATTTTCCAACTATTAATCCTTTCTCTTTGTTTCCAACCTTTGTATTCCAATCACCAGTAATTATCTACACATCTTGATTATATGGTTGATCAATTTCAGACTGAAGAAGGTGGTAGAATTCTTTAATATCATCACTGGCTTTAATTGTTGGTACGTAAATTTGAGTAATAGTGGTATTAACTGGGCTTCCTTGTAGGCAGATGGATATTATCCTATCATAGTCAGCATTGTACTTCAAGACAGATCTTGAAATATTCTTTTTGATGATGAATATGATGTCATTCCTCTTCAATTTGTCATTCCTGGTGCAGTAAACCATGTGATAAATTAAAAATGGCCAATACCAGTCCATTTCAGCTCACTGGTGCCTAGGATAGCAAAGTTTATGTGTTCCATTTCATTTTTGGCAACTTATAATTGTTCTAGATTCATATTTCGTACATTCCATGTTCTGATTATTAATGGATGCTTGCAACTGTTTCTCCTTATTTTCAGTTGTGCCGCATCAGCAAATGATGGTTCTGAGGGCTTTACTTCATTCACATCATCACGGTCAGCTCTACTTTGAGGAAGCAGCTCTTCCCCAGCCACATTTTGAGTGGCTTCCAACCTGAGGGACTCATCTTTCAGCATAATATCTGACAATATTATGGTGCTCTTCGCCATGATTCCATATTCAATAATCTGGTGCTGACAGTGTTCCACTGCTATTCATAAGGGTTTCAGTGACTAAATATTCAGTAGTAGTCCATCTTTCTTCCTAGTCTGTCTTCATCTGGAAGCGCATCTGCAACCTATCTACCATGATTGACCCTGCTGGTATTTAAAATACGGATGGCATGGCTTCCAGAATCACAGCAACTCACAATCAACTACAGTACAACCAATGAACAGATCAGTAGGACTGGGTAGGACTGTGCAAATGTGAGGTGCTTGTGGTCCTCTAAGGTGATTGGACAGCTTGCTAATAATGTCAATAGTATGTTTGTGGGAGTCAGGCCATGCAAATCCTATGTATGGAACCCTAAAGAGAGGATGATTAACTTTGTCACCCCAGTAGGTTCAAAAAGAGCCATCCCCGAGGCAGACAAGGGGGGGTGTCTCACTGACGTCAAGAAAGAAGGGCCAAGAGTGGAGCACGTCCGGCAGAGCAGAGATCCCTGAACCTTCTTGGTCCCGAGGCAGATAGCTGGCCCCCAAGATAGCAAGAAACAGTATGGAGAAGCAGCTGCAGCAAAACCAGAAGCCCAGTGGGTGATGGACTGGTGGGCTTCCAGCCCAGGTAACGAGAAAGCAGAGCACCTTCAGGCAGGAGGTTTGCTAGCAGAATTTAAGCCATGGGAATAGAGCTGAGTGCCTTTGGACCAAGGCAGAGCTTGGAGAGTTTTGAGCAAGGCCAAGAGCAGGCCAAAGAGCCTTGGTGCAGGGAGGGGCCCAGACCTGGAGAAAGGCATTCCTAAGGCATGATTGAGAAGAGTCTATCCAGACTGAAGCCTGAGTCTCCTTGGTCCTGAGCTGTACCCAGTTACTACCCCAATGAACCCCACAACTGTGAGTATTGTCTGTGAGTTGTATGTGGCCACTGCAACAAATGATCAAAGCCAGCGGAGATGGTACCGACGGTGATTCTTCTCTCTCTCCTTGGTGAAGGAACCTGGAAGCGTAGTGGATTGCAAGAGGGGCTGCTTAACCCAAGATCACTAGTTTAAATCTACCAGTCACTTCGTGTGAGAAAGACGAAGCTTCTTGTCCCTGAAAAGATTTACAGCCTTGGAAACTCTATCCCGGGTTGTTACGAGGAACTGACTCAGTGGTACACAATCACCACCACCCCTTAGTGAAGTTAGAGGAGGCCAGACCCCACCCCCACCCCATCTATGCAAACAGCAATTTGTAATATAGGCATATGTAGAAAAGTGGATTTATTCCATCAATAAAAATCTATTCCAGGTGAAAAACAGACTTAAGTATGAAAATGTGAAAATGTATGGGAGACAATATGGACGATATACTTATGAAATTGGGACTGGGAAGGACTTCTTAAATAAGGTTCAAAAGCACAAACAACCCAGGGAAAATGTGATGAATTTACGACATTAACATAATCAACTTGTGTGCATTCTAAGATGCCATTAACTAAGAAGGAAAAAAAACCCAAAAAATCAACCCCAACAACCCAGGCTGTGTGATGGTGGTAATTTGTATTCCCAATAAAAGACTCCTATAAATCAATACGAAAAAGACAAACAACCCAACAGCAACATGAAGATATGAGCAGAAAATTTATAGGAGAATAAATCCAAATATTCAATAAACAGACGGAAAGATGTCAACCTCACTAGTAATTAGAGAAATTGAAAATAAACTAGAATGAGACACCATTTCACTCCCACCGGCTCAGTGAAAATTCAGAAAACTTGGGTTAGAGAAATTCAGGCACGCATGTGCAGCCACAGAAACTCATTGCTGGGGTGAGTGAGCCTGAGCGCAATCTGGCAAAATGGAAGAACTCTGTTTCTAGCACTTCCCAGCTCTCCCATTTCCACAGGAGCCCTGTGTAGGGTTTCTAAGGCTGTCAACCTTCACGGGAGCAGCAAACATTTTCTTTCTCCCGAGGAGCGGTGGGTGGAATCGAATCCAACTGCTGACCTTGCCAATAGCAGGCTGCAACACTATGAGGCTCCGTCTACACACTTCATTTAGTAGAACCCAAACTAGGAAAGCCTCAATTTCCATCAGAACTACAAACAGGCTAATCAGATTCCGTTCTGCTCACACAGTGCAGTAGGTGGCAGCAAAGGTGAGTGACCTAGAGCCATGCACACCAACAGGAAACAGCCCTAAAGCAGACCTCCCGGAGCAACCTTACCGATTCCACGATGATCTCAAAAGAAAAAGCAAAAAGGCCCAACAAACCCCAGTTCTTGACCGGTGAGGCCCACCAGCTTCTCCAGGAAGAGTTCATGCCAATCTTCCACACAAAATGCTCAGAAAATAGAAAGACTGTCTGAGCTACCGTACTTGTTTTAAATGATTTGGTGTCGTCTGGTATAAAACACAAAGAGATTGGGCCAATTTCAGAAAAAAGAAATGTACTGGCTCATGGCACTGGTGAACATAAATGCAAACATTCTAAATCAAATAGTAGCTGAATTAAAAAGAGATTACAAAATTGTGCCTCACAATGGAGTTGGATTTATCAGGAATGCAAGGATAGTTCAAAATCAGATATTGAATCTGTGCAGGGAGCCAATTCCATCTACTCCCCCTCCCCACCACGTGTTAGAACAGAACTCCAGGGGGTTGTCAATGACCAGTTTTTGGAAAGTGGATCACCAAGCCTTTCTTCAGAGGATCCTCTGAATTATTTGGAATCTCCAACTTTCACATTTTCAGGCAAGCATGTTCACCAAAGTGCGAACTTTCATAGCATGACATCAGAATATATAGAGAACACATTTAATTAATATGCTTTGGTAGCGCAGTGGTTACGAGTTGGGCTGCTAACCTCAAGGTCAGCAGTTCGAAACTATCAGCTGTTCCTCAGGAGAAAGAGGAGGCTTTCTGTTCCCGTGAAGATTTACAGCCTCGGAAACCCTGTATGAGTCAGAACTGACTCCACGGCATGTAACCAACCATATTTCATTAGGTTCGACACTCATTTGTAGTAATTTATTAGTGTTGTGGATTTCACTGTTTTTCAGATGAAAGCAGTAACAGTTAAAAAAAGGTGGAGCCGACATATTTCACCTCAGCTTCCGAAACTTCCTCCAGGCAAAACTTGGCTTTCAAACACTTTACTCTCGGCTCAGAACGAACATGAGGCTTTTGAAACCCTTTGTAGCTTTGGTGTCTTCCGTGGATGTGGTGGTTAACCGTTACTGCATTTCCCCCTAAACACTTGTGAGGGGGTCAGCAGATGGTAGAGCTGCTGTGGTACTGGAAATGGGAATCCTAGGAGAAGGCCCTCAGACCACCTCGTGGTACTCATCCAATTTCTGAGGCTCCTGCGAGACGAAGGGGTTGATCCAGGCCATGGAGACTCGGTGCCCGAAGACGGCCTTCAAGTTCATCCACCTGGTGCCTTTGCCCCACCTGGCCCGCTCCCTCTGCAGAAACTCGATTCTGGTTTGGTCCTTGCAGATGGCATGCATCTGGGTCCCGAACATGACGGAGGTGAAGATGAAGCCCTTCAGACTCACCAAGAAAAGGAAGACGACGGAGCCGCCGGGTGAAATGATGCTGTTGGTGTCCCATTCACCGTGCAGGTAGCCTCGCAGGACAGGGACGCCAAGCAGCAACAGAACGTGCAGCGAGGCCAGCGCGATGTAGAGCGTGAACAGAACGAAGTACTTCTGGTTGTCCTCGCCCACGCAGTTGTTGACCCAGGGACAGTGGTGGTCCATCTTGCGGATGCAGCGCCCACACACGCTGCAGTGGTGGGCGCGCGCAGGCCGGGCACTGCCGCAGCGCTGACATCTGGGCGCGCCGGGCTGGGCCGTGGAGCCCAGGGGCACGGAGCCCGGGTCGGTGAGCACTGTGCGTGCGTGCGACACCAGCCCCAGGAAGGCCAGCAGGTGGAAGAGTGCGCCGTTGGCCGCGGTGTAGACCAGGTCCTTGGACGGGATAAGCCGCTGGGACAACATCACGCCCGCCGCGCCCAGCACCAGCACCCAGGTGCCAGCGGCGCACACAATGCCCAGAGGGTCGCACACGAACCAGATGCGGCAGCGGCGGCGGTGGAGGCTCTCAGGGAGCGGCCTTGGTGGCCCCGGAGGGACGGCGGGGCACAGCGCGAAGGTGGGCGTCCTCTCAAGGGCTCGGTGGGCCGGAACGCCGGCGGGCATTGCGGGGACCCTCGGGCATCCTAGCACCACGAGACCCGGGGAGGGGCACCAGCGGAGGCCGCCTGGGCTGGACACTGCCCGCTGGGGCCCTGGGCAGGAGTGCTGTCCACGACAGACCTTGGTCCTCACCTGGCAGAATCAGAAGTTGAGCCCCATCTGCGTTCTAGAATGTGACTTAGAGGTGAGGGGATTTGTGAACACACAAAGGGCAGTCCTTGGGTTTCACCCAGAGTGGCCCCTTCTCCGCGGCCGGGTTTCTCTTTTGGGTGAGGACCGTGCCTGGGCATCCCGAGGCCGGGGGCTGATGATACTGTGATTTCCCAAACCACCTTTCAGATTTTCTCAGAAAGGGGTCAGAGTGGAGAAAGCCTGCGATGCTTTCAGTGTGTGGTGAGGGTCAGTGACTACCCACTATGTGTTCCTTGAGGCCTCACAACAACCCTGCCAGACAGACTTGTACTGGCTCCATTGTCCAGATGGGGAAACTGAGGCATGGAGAGGTTAAGTAAATTGCCCAAGGCCCCAAGGCTGTGAGTGACAGGTCAGGTGTCTCCCCTCTTTTGTCTTGCCAGGAGCTCTGCTATTCCCCTGCCTACACAGGAGGAGGGCCCAAAAGGTGAACTGAGGGGGGTCACAGGTGATGGCATAGACCTCTGTGGGCATTGGAGACGTTGAGGGAAGATGGAAAACAATGACAACGGCATGGGCAGAAGTCTGTTGTCGAATCCATCTAAGCCATGGGTCATCTGATGAAACAATGACTGAATCTAAGGCTCAGGTGGGAGGAAGAGGCCCACTACACAAGGTCTGAGAAGGTGGACTGGTTGGGCCTAGAGAGACCATGTCATTGGCAATGGAGTGAGTGCATTCCTGGTCATATTAATGGGAGCCTGGCATGTTGATAGAGGAGGGGATTCTTGTGTGTGTTATCCTAAGGAACATATCTGGGTAAGCAACTTGTAGAGTGGAGTGCCTTGGAAGCCGTCAGCTGAAGAAGTTTTGGGAAACTGGGGAAGGCACCCTGAAAGGAGGACAGGTGCTATCTCAGGCTAGGGACAGTTCCCTTCCAATGGGAGGCTGACCATGGGGAAGAGTCCATGGGTGAAGGAGGTGATGTCTATAGCAGGCGCAGCTACAGGATCGACCTTATGAGGCTGGGAGGAAGGTCCCTGGGTCTTCATGGAGCCCAACATGACAACAGAGTGTTGATTAGCCCCAAAGGACATGACTGGAGAGCGCCTCCCACTGCTCCGATAAGGGGTATGTAATATTGGGGACCCATAACTGGTGTGAACATGGGTGGTGTCAAAAGGGCTGCTGCCCGTCTTCAGCCTATAACTGATTGAAATACCTAAAAGGAGTTCTAGAACTTGCCCAGTGAAATAGGCTTCCTGTGGAGCCTTTGTAATCTATAGGACCTTAGGTGGAACCCTAAGCCCCATCCAGAACCTTCTGAGGTGGGACATACCCACTAGAAAGGACAGACAACCAGCCTGGAATATCTGCAGGAACTGAATATTCTTCTCAAAAGAAAGACCATCAGGAAAAATCCAAAAATTAAAAATGACAGTCTGATTGGCTACTGTAAGAACAACTAAAAATGGGGAGTCATCAAGGCAAGCAATCAAGTCTCTTCAGGACAACCCCCCCGACTGAAACTCAAAGGGAGCACATGAGCAGGCATGTAAGCTTGCTGGTGCCTATGTTGGTCTACTGGTGAGTGGAACAGGGAGAAAGGCAGCAATGAAGAAATGGGCTGAGTTCAACCACGTTCCACAGACTCCTGTTGACCTGGAGATGAGAGAGAGAAGAGGAAGGGCTGGTTGGTCCAAAGTGTGGTGAGACCTGGGGACACTTGAGCCCATGGACAAGGACATAGCCATAGAGGGCTGGAACTGAAAGTGAAGCGTCCAACTGATGTGAAGTGAGGGGAGATGCACAGGAACACCCAGACTTGTAGATAATACCCATTTGGCCTAGCTTCGATGGCTTGATGATCAGCACTCTACTGTTGTTGTTGTCAGGTGTCATCGAGTCGGAACCGACTCATAGCGACCCCATGCACAGCAGAACAAAACCATGTCCAATCCTGGGCCAACCTCACTACCGCTGCCACACTTGAAGCCATCAATGATACCACCTGGCTGATCCATCTCGTTGGGGGTCTTCCTCTTTTTCTCTGACCCTCCACCTTACCCAGCATGACATCCTTCTTCAGCAACTGTTCTCTCCGGACAATGTGTCCAAAGTAGGAGAGATGAAGCCTAGCCATCTTGGCCTCCAAGGAGCACTCTGGTTGCACTTCTTCCAAAACAGATCTATTGGTTCTTTTGGCAGTCCATGGCACTTTCAGTATTCTCCTCCAACACCACAACTCAAAGGCATCAATTCTTCTACGATCTTCCTTATTCACTGTCCAGCTTTCGCATCCATATGAGGTTATTGAAAATACCATGGCCTGGGTCAGGCACACCTTAGTCCTCAAAGAACTCTACTAGAGGAAGATAAAAATAAAAAGTTTTTGATAAAGGAAACAAGTGTAATTACTACAATTTGATGAACTTGACCTATACTTATGGATATAGTAGCTTAAAATACAAACTGAGAGGGAAAGAGTCTTCATATCAAGTGTCCATCCTATCCCCTCTGTATGTAGGGTTGGTAGGGATGGGCAACTTAGACATTGACTACCTAAAATGGGGGTGGGGGGCTCTAAAGGCACGAACTGACTGGCTTACAAGTTTTCAAGAGGGAGTTTAGTTTCAGAGCATGTGGGGAAAAACACTGAATAGCTGTCATCTTGTCTAGATGGGTCTGGTGAAAAGAAATGGGGATAAGATTCTTATGATTCAATAGTGAGTTAATGTTATCATGACTAATTGCGACAGTCACAACTGTAAAGGTAGAAGTTCTGTAGCAAAAATGGGAAAGTAGTTAATCTTACAGCCCAGAAAACAGAGGACCCAAGGATCATCAAGGGAGAAGAACACAAATGGAATGTGGGACCCTATCTAGAGAAGCAGCGACACCAGAGATGGAGGCAGAGATGAGGACACAGAGAGAGGGAGCAGCTGAGGACTCTAGATTCATGTAAAGAGAGGGACTGTGTGCTGGTGGCCAGGAGGCAGCCTTGCAGAATGTGCCCTTGGGTTGTTTAAATGATTATATATTCCTGAGTGTTTTGTATACATCCAAAAAACCCAAATAAACAAAAACAAAAAAACCCGAAACAAAAATAGAGGGACTAGAAGCAAATACTGTTGAATGATGATGTACAGAGGGGATTGTAATCATTGCAATTAAATAATTGCAAAACTGATGTTCTCCCTTGTAACCTATAATTTAATTCACAATAAAAAACCAAAAAAATTGGGGGGGGCTACTGCAAATTATTGAATGATGCAGAAAGCTTCAAGAGAAGATGTAAGGAATACCCAGAGTCACTGAACCAAAAGGAAATGGTTAATGTTCAACTGTTTCAAGAGGTAGCATATGATCAAGAGCCAATGATACTGAAGGAGGAAGTCGGAATCAGCAAAGAACAAGGCACCAGGAATAAAAATTGAAATCTTTCAAGAAAGTGAGGCAGCACAAG